AGGGCGCCGTGCAGCACTCACAAGGAAGGAGCCCTGTCCCGTATTAGCACAGCATTATCTCTGAATTAAAGCACTCGCTTCCTCGCATAATTAAATTGTGCAGATCTGAGCATACCACGTCCAGCTTTCAACCTCCTTTGTCCAGTGCTGGGGTAGCTATCTCTGTGTTCTGCAGTGCACATACACCCCAGATGTCTGAACCCATGTATTTGAATTTAAAAACCTGAGATTGTTGTTATTATTGCTGCTATTGTGAAAATCCCAATGGCATATGCTGCTGTCACCCTTCAGTTGTCCAGAGATCCATCTACCTGCAGTGCCTGTTTCATACCATCACTGAAATTTATCAGCACGTCAGCCCTTACTGGGTTGGAGGATTTTTCTGTCAGGTATTTTAAAGATTTCAAACTAAACTTTTCTGAAGTTCTTATATATTTGGATCAAAGCTTGATGCTGAAGCTAAACTTTTCCCAAGGGTTTATTACTGAAAAATGTTTCAAATGCCTGATACAGCCAGATCTATCTATACACACATTCTTTCTTCCAGTTATTGCATTTATCTAAGGTGGCAAAGGCTTTTAGATTTCTCCTGGGCCTGAGAGTCTTCATGTGATACTAAACGTATATCTACTGGGCGCACCGAAATTCCTAGGGCATGCGTTAGTGGATCAGCTGCTGGCAAGCACCAAGGCCTGTAACACAAATGGACACAGAGCATATTCACTTGGGCCAGATTTGTCCTTTTCTTTCTGAAATTATTACATGTTACATTGTAAACTCAATTAATTTACCCTAAGGCCCATAATATCATTTTTGGCACAAGCACAAACTAAAATATAGTAATGATATTCATTGAGATGACAATACAGCACAAAACAAGCCATAGCAACTTTTTTGAAGTGCTGAGGAATAAAGATCGCCCATACAGACTTCCCCAATTCTTCCAACAGAATGACCCCTGCCAGTTTGATTAGTAACCCTCATGGTGAGCAGGGAATTAGGGCAAAAGTTCCCCTGAAAGGATTGGCCCTAGAGGTCCTGAAGGTGCTCTCTCTCTGGGTGCCAGACAGGTCTCAGTCCTCGGAGCTCAGCTCAGCCAAAGTCCTGATGAGAGCACTGCAGGGTACAGGAGCTCTGCTTCACAAAACACATGCAGCCATGGTATCCTTCTGAAAGTCTCAGTGCACTATCAAAGGTGAATTCTGACCTGTATATCCCTTGAGTTGTGACTTTCAAGAACTACAGAAATTTTCCAGAAAGCAGGACTCATGAACCCAAAAGTTTATATTTTTTTCCCAACGTATCAGTTATCTAATAAAAGTTATTCCCTCTCCCTATAGATGTTTCCTCACATACCTCTTCAGACCCTCACAGCTATCGTATTACCACGACAGCCTTTACAAGCAGCACAAGTACCTTTACGATGACATCTGCCAGCATCACCTGACAGATAAAACCACCAAAGTCCACCTGGAAATGTTGCCTCTTCCCATAATATCTTTGCATCTTTTGTGAGATTTTCTTGCAAAACTTTGTAATAATTTATTTACACACAAAAAGCTCAAGAGTTATGTGTTACTCTGACATCTACTACAGTCAAAATCTCTTCTGGGTCCTGTTAGTTGAGTTTCATCAATAACTAGATGGAACTCCAGGCCTCCAAACCTTACAGTGTTGTCATTTATGGGACCTTTGCTGAGGTTACAGGCTACATCTCTCCATTCCTAGCAGCAAAGCCACCTTTCTGCAGCACACACAGCTTAGCTTATACTCCCAGGGGAAGTGCAAATTATGCCGAGTACAAAACAGAAAACCATACAGTGACTTAAGTAATCTACAGACAGCAAAGAGTAATCCTGAAAATAAACTGTATTCTGCCCTTCCCTGGCACAGCACAGAACTGACAGAACAAATTTGGGATCTGAAAATGGAGTGTCTGAATTCATAGCTAGCACTCAGTCACCAGGGGCACGTGTGTCCCTCCTCTGGCCTGCAGGTGCCCAACGCTGCACCACGAGCTGAGTGCTAGGGGCCAATGCTAGGAAATGGTTACGTCAGGAAGCTCACGGGGCTCCAAAGACCACCATGAGATTTACCACTGTTTAGCCATGTTAGTCCAGTCCAGAGCAGAATTTCTTAACGTGGTGAATATTGCATTAGGCTCTGAGATGGCTTGTATCTCGTGCCTGAGGTATTTCTGCCCATCTCTGTTGTGCTGAGCTTTGGTGTGCCTGTACCCACTGGGCAGCAGAGACATACCCATAGAGAAACTGTGTCCCTGCCACACTTGAGAAGTGGCACGGGAAAAGATTTTCAGAGACCCTGGTGTCTTTAGCCATGAAACAAAACTGTATCCCTGCAAATTGCTTCACAGGAGTGACTTACCTTTTGGTTTTGCTGTGGAAAGATCATCAGACACTGAGATGTCTGAACCAGGCCCACCTGTGGCAGAGCACTTTCTCCTTTGAGATCTGCCTAACTAAGAGCATTTCACCAGTACTGGCACCTAGATCCCACCAGTACTGGCACCTAGATCCAAAGTTCCCGAGTTGTGCTACTCGTACCACTGCATGAAGCCATTTCAAGGTGACTTGCTGCCACAAAAGGGCTCACTGTCTTTTCATCCATACGTTTGGGCATGGTTGATACCTACTCCTGACCCTGAGCTCACAGGATCGTGGTATTGCTCTCCTCAACATCAATGAGATACCTAAAACAATAAAATACTTCTACTGAAGCCCTCAGCTGCTGTCGGAGACAGAGATGCATATTGGAGGGTGAAGGTGAGGGCAGGAGCAGAGCTCCCAGTTTATGCTCAGCATCCAGCAGGATGAAACCCATCAATGCTGATTGGCTTCCAGTGGTTAATTTAAGTGAAGAAAGCCCTTTCCTTTACAGAAATCTTCATAAATCTGCAGGAATTCATGTCACAACTCCTTCCCTATTTCTACTGCTTTTTGAGAGCACCTTGGTCTTTGCAGAGCAGTGCAAACCAACACAGACAACTCTAAAATGTCTTATATGGCAGCTCCAAATGCTTACAGTTTATGTAAAGCCATGGAGCCAGCATGATAAGATCTAATTACCAAGCGAATTAGTAAAAAAACAGCTGCAAGGTTTGCAGAAATGTCTGGAAGTGCAGAGTAAATGGCCACAATTGATAGAGTTATTGCACAGGCATCCTGAGGGCACAGTCTGCAGCACTCAAGTCCTAACCAAAATCACTGTCAACAGTTGTTGTTTTCTCCATTCTGTTAAATGAAAAGAGCATGAAAATGATCCTGCAAACAGCCATTTAATATTCTCATGCACATGAACTGCAATTATCAGCAGCAGCAACAACAAACCCTGCTGTAATGTGTTCATGGTTAATCAATTCAATTGATCACTGTTTATTAAATAAAAACCTGCTCTCTAAACAGTTCTTCTCTAAGTGGCATGTTTGGGGGCTCTTTTTTTTCCCTATTTTTTTTTTCTTTTTAATAAAAACTGCTAGGAAAATCAGGAGACCAATTAAAGCTTTTAATTTAAATCCAGGCTGAGAGAGATGCTAGCAGTGCATATTGCCTTTACAAAAGCATTAGCTTAAAGGGGGGTTTGAATCAGCCTAGCCACTCCCTGGGAGAGCTCAGCGGAATCTGATTCGTTCCTATTTTAAAGGCTTTCAAGCCACGTTAGCAACAGCCAGTGTATTTATCTGTGCAAGAGACAGTCATGACCAGGTCAGCTCAGGATATCAGGAAGTGGGCCGTTGATAATGCAGATTAGGGGGCATGCTTTATTCACATCAGCACTGTAGCATTGATCACCCCTATTCTGCACCTTTAGACGGTAGATCGGAAATCAATGAATTCCAGGCTGGAGAGATGCTGTAGATAACAGAAATCCTCTATAGTCGGTTATCTCCCTACAAGGAATAATGATCTTGCACAGAATTGAATGCTTTAAATGTAGGAAGAATATACACTACATTACAAGTTCAATGGCAGACTGATACCAGGACAGCCAGAGCCTGGCTGTACCCCAGCCCCAAGCCGATTCCCGCAGCTCAGTGCTGCGTGGAGAACTTGCACCTACCTGGAGTCCTCCCTGCCCTTCGGCTGCTCCGAGTGGTGCAGAAGGGAGGAGAAGGGGAGTGTTGACACACAAAAAATAACCTCACGGGATTTAATTAAGACTACTGAACCTGTGTCACTTGTAATTTATGGCAGATTTGAACCTATGCCTCCAGAGGGAGAAAATGAAGGCATTTCCAGTACATTAGCTGACTTCAATAACAAAGTCAAATCTGACGTCCCGTGACCCTCGAGTGAACGAAGACTAAGGAGTCCCTGTTATCCCAATTATTTCTGGCTAGATTTGTGAGATGTTTGCACTGCCATGGAATCCAGCCACAACCAGGTACCTGCCCTAATGGGGGAAGTGCAAAGCCTCCTCATGCCACAAAACCCTTGTGAGAGCATTAGAAACCTCCAGCAAAAGTGGGTCATTAATGGTATGTTCCATGGAGAAAAAGGGACGCCGGGCATATTCCCTCCCCTGCCAGCAGGCACCTGGCCTCCACAGGAGCTAAGAAAAGGCTTACAAATAAAGCTGTGCAAATAACTGGCTTTGCCTTTTATGGCCAAAGTGAAAAAATAAACTTAGCAAAAATGCTTTAGGTCAACTAAAATGTTTTGTTCAGCCTCATATCAGGCGCATCACCTTCCGTCCTTTGGGAGACTGGGGGAAGGGTGAGAACATGCTTTATTATTGGGCACATTTTACAATGAAAAAATAAAAATAAAAGAAAATATTAAAATGTTTTTTTTTTTTAACAATTTTTCTTTTTTTTTCTTTTTTTTTTAATCCAGAATTAATTGCTAACCATCTTCCAAGTAAATTCAGCTGACTCAAAACTATCAGTCTGTCTCTTCAGGGGTAGGGGGAGAAATCACTGAAATCTTTTACTCAGATTAACTTCTACAAAGGTGCTTCAGGGAACCAAAAAGTAGACATACCTTTTTTTTTTTTTTGAGCAGCCAAAGTAAATGAGTTCAATAAAATAATATCAAAGGGAAAACTTTTCACCAGGATGAGGCAGATGTCTTGCACGACTGACCAGCCCTGGAACCCATAACAGCAGCGCCAACGATGCTGAAAGCTGCAGCAATAGCAGCAGCCTCTCTGGTCTGACCTGTTTGAGAGAAAAGGGATTATTAGGGAATAAAATTAAATCCTTTCGATATAGGTTCCACAGCCAGCGAGTTTAGCACACAGCTGTCTCGTGGCTGCATTAAATCTGTCCTTCCCCTAGGCTTGCTAGGCAGCATCACGTAAATGAATCCCTGCCCATGCCGATAAGGAGCTGAGAGCTGTGCCGAGGGGAGGCAGGAGGCAGGTAGAGCCAAGTCAGCCACCCTGGGGGATGCTGCCCAGAGCACTGTGTGCAGAGATGTCCTGAGCTTGTGCCGAAAACACCGGCCTTGCTCTGGGAACACTTAGGGACACGCCACTTAAGGCTGCGGGTTTTTTTTTTTTCCCCTTTAGGAAATTGCCACTCAAGTTAGGATAGGAGCAATGCCGCATCAAAGCGGTTCATAATTAGGTACAAATTTCGCTTGTAGTTCAGCAATTTCTCCGGATTAGCAGCCGCTGACCTTCGCCAGGCCCCAATGGCAGCCAGCCTCCATCCTTGGTCCCAGAGTGACCTCTAGTGTCGCCACAAGCGGCGTGCTCCCGGCTCTCCCCTTCAGTTCTTTGGCAAGGGGTTCGCCCAGAGAGCACTACCCACACGGTGAGCCTGCTTCGCTGCGGCTTTCACCTCATTTCTGTCCGTGCACACAGCTTGACAGGGGCAGCGAGGCTGTTGGTGCCTTCTCCTGCCAGTCCTGGGCGCTGCTGGTTTCAGCCCTCCTCCAGGCAGCACCCACAAGCCCGAAGGCCTCGGTCCTTCCCGTGTCATCCCACTCGTCAGAGCAGGCTGCTGCTCTTGCTAACCCATACTGAAGCTTTAAATGGATATTTTTAAACCCCGACAAGGGAAAAGAGGGAGAGCTGAGTGAAGGGAGGTTGGAATCCATTACCACAGAGCCCAGGAGGCTGGGAGCAGCTGAGCAGGCCTGCTGTGTGACAGGATGCTGGACCAGCAGCAGGCTCTGATGGCTACTTACTCCTGCCCCTGTTTGGGACCCAGGAGCTCTAGCACCCCGCCACGAGGGGACAGGCTCCCGGCACCTCATAACACTGCTTCTCCTCAGGTCCAGAGGAGCACCTGGCACATTCAAACCAAGGCAACCAAGGCGTGAAGGCAAATGCATCACCGCGCTGCGACAAGTGCTGGAAGGGATCATTTGTACACTTCAACTTCTGACAGTCATCCACGTAGTGAGATATTCTCTTTTCCCCACAGTTTCCTTTGGGCTGGGGGATCTACTTCAGATTAGAAGAAAAAAAAATCGTTCTGAATGTTTTTGCTTATCCACCATTGCCCGCAGTAACTATGCATTGTGGACATCTATAGTGAAGGGTCAAAAATGCTCTGGAGACAAACCCTCCAGATCTTTTCAGTAGGGTTATAAGCATAACGTAGAATTATGTAGCATAAGCAAAGCTCAATCAGGTCTTACTGAGTGATCAGAAAATCATTTTGATAGACCACCTCAGTTCACTGCCAGTTCAGGCACCTGAAGAACCCCCCCATATACCAGGGGTGTAAGTCTAGCACAAGACCTTCAGTCATTTTAGGTAGACTTCACCTCTCCCCCATGGCTTCAATCTGACGATATTCACATCTTCCATAAAAGCACCAAGCTGGACGAGCTGTTACTGTGATCAGGTAATCTCACAACTTCAGTTTTCCCTGTACTAAAACTTAACGCAAGTGCTTTGACATGGACTGAGGACTGAGATAGGCAGATTTTCACCACTGGATTGAAGTCAGTGTTTTACAGATGCTTCACTGGTATTTCCAATTCCTCTGTACTTTTACTTATTTCCTTTTCTCTCTCTTTTTTACGTCCATCTATAAGCACAATTCAGAGCACTCTACATTCCCACATGCTCCTGTATTTCATGGGCAGGACTTCACCATCCACAAACCAAAACCAGTCTTTGAGAAAGCCTTTGCCTTCCCACATGGGACTGAGAATATTGCCTAAGATTTAATAAATAAAATAAAATTCTCAATTTAAAAGCATCAGAAGATGTCATTCATTCACCTACACAAAAGAGTTGAAAAGACAAGTGCCTATTTTCGGCAGGGGAGGCTACAAAGTCCACTAGTGAAGGCACAGTGCTTTTCCAGACGAAATGAAGACATGAACCGGAACAGTGTGAACAACAGGGCTGGCATTCCTTGCAGGCCATGATTATCACTTATTAAATTACCCATGAGCAGAGCAAGCCAAGTGGAGCAGCACATCACACTGACACACACCAAACCAAGGCCTGCAGGAAGCCTCAGAACTCCCTGTCCTCGGCTGGGGGAAAGAAAGAAATACTGTAGGTTAGGCGTGAGAGAGTGACTCTGTGTTCAAAATTACCTGTTCTCATTTCAGAGTCGTAAAAGACAGAAAAAGAACCCACTATTCAGAAAAGAAATAAAAAGAAAAAAAGATATTCTGATAACATACAGGGATGGAAGAATGCGATAAAGGGGTTAAGGAAGTGGCAGCCTGGAATATATCTGGATTTTGTTCGGTTCAGTGTTCTCAGGGACTGGCCCAATAGTCCTTGGAGTCACTGAAGTGGTTTCCATTAATTTCAGTGAGCATTTAACTCACCCCCGGTCTGACAGACCTATCTCCAGAACACCTTGAGTACCACTGCACCAAGAAGAAATCTCATCTGAAAGAAAGTAGGTTCGATGACAGCTGAAATTAAGGCTTGTTATACACAAGACACAGAGTTCACATAGGAGGGAGAAAAATTAAAGGATGCCTAAAGACTCCCTGACAAGACACAGATTCTGGAATAACAGCACAAATAATCTGCATCCATTTTCAAAGGGCAATGGACCGCAAATGTGAGCTTCCACAGAGTGATAATCCAGAGTTATTCCTGACTGATATCTCCTCCTGTAGACAAACACTCACTTGTTAAAAGTGAAGCACAGTGTATTGACAGGAATAAACTGTCAAATTCAGATATGTTTGTTAAGGCCAAGAGAAGTGTAAGCCTCAAAGATAAAATTAGGGAAAGTTTCTAGGTGAAACTTGTTGAGGAGTCCGGGGAGAAAGCTAAAATCAAACACCACCAGACAGACAACTATCAGTAACCCAAACAACAAAGAGAGGTACAAAAGGCCAGAGGAATAGCAGCCCAGATGGTGGTCATGTGAAAAAACACATTCCACAGATTGCAAAGCACTTAACTTATTTTTGATTATAGAAGACAGAAGGATGGAAAAGTTAAAAAAGAAATATGCTTGGGCCACAGTCATCACAGACATACGCCAGTTGTGGACCTCTCTATTTTTGACCCACTGGTTCTTGCCTTATTTTTCCAGTAAAATACCTTAGATGCTTTAGATACAGCTAGAAGTAAAAAATAAATAAAAAATAAATCATGTGAGACTTATGTCTGAGCTGTCCATACCAAAGACCTGCAGAAATGGGTGGTGGTTGCTTTTTTCTGAGAGACAGAAATTCTAGAAAATTTTAAAGTGGTCAACAGCTACTTGCTACATGTCTCCCCAAGGAAAAGCTTAACGTTATTGTGATGAGTGAAGTGATGGTACTGCAGCGTCTCCCAGCATTGCCTGAGCATTGATGCCCCAACAAGAGAGAAAAATAACCATGTCAGGAACATCTCTCCTCTTTGTCTTCATTAACTTACATTTTGGCTGCACACTCCAGAGGTGTGCAGCAGAGAAGAATATGCAGGCTCAAAAGGGCTCAGCTGGAATTGCAGCCCAGTTCTGCCATAAAATGACTCAAACTTCATTAAATAAAATAAAGCTGCTGTAGCCCAAGGATTGAGTGACTTGCAGTTTCCCTTGCTCCTGGGTTAATACAGCCAAGCTGGCACATTGATAGAACACTTAGCAGGACAGTGGGATGTGCTGAATTCAAATGAGTCTTCATAGCTGGTAGGACTGTACTAGGTGCTTCATACATAATCTGCTGCTCGGAGGAAGAGAAGAGAATACAGCTAAAGAAGGGAGCAAAAGTGTAAAAATCTACAATTGCACGCTGACATAGATTTCTCTCAGAAAACAGAGGACCCTTCAGGCCTAGAAGTGACTATAAATTAGAAAAAAACATATCAGAGTCAAGATTACAAGGATCTTCCGACTTAGACTGTAGTTTGACTACAGATCAGCCCATTATAAAAACTAACAGTGCAGGCATTGCAATGGGATATCATCAGAAATCCCAAAACAGAGTCCATGTGCTATGTCCAGCCCGCAGCACACGCGCTGGTCAACTGAATCACACAGCAAACCAACGATGACCAGAATGCGTGAGCTGTCTTGGACAGGTTCACGATTCCCAAAAATCTAAGAAGAGAACTGGAATGCCTCTGTTCCCGTTCTTGCTCCGTTCACAGCTCAGTCGTGCTGCACACAGGGTGTCAGGCAGCAGCCGCGCAGAGCTGCTGATGTAAAGTCCTGATACCTCCCAAGAGCACGTGAGGTGGAGTCTGTCCATGAGATCCTACTGCTCATTTGCTGGAGGTTTCTATTCGTAGAGGGACCTTGCAAGAGCTACTGTTCCAGGAGTGCTGTCAGACACCTAGGAGACAGAACATAGAGCGGATGGCTGTTAAACCCAAAGCCTTCTGCCAAAAGAAATAAGGAAGCACTATAACAAACCTTAGTTCTGGTGCCAAACAAGTCAGGCCAGCACTCCAGAAAGGGCCTTAGCTACTGGGACATCCACCCTTGGACTAGAAAGAACAATACTGAGCGATGGCCTGTGCTGCCTGCGCTCTCTTGGCGAGGACTTGATGGAGAAGCACACGAGCCAGTACAATAGGGGACGCCAAGAAAAAGCACACATCCGAAACCTGGCCTCTTCCCACACTCAGACAGGGTCTGCTGCCAACAATTAGGCACCTCTGTGATTCAGGCCTGAAGCTGGTTGCTACCAGCAGCCGGGTGGGGCTGTGACCCCCGCGAGGATTACACGGCAACTTGACTGCCAAGCCTAAGGTGGCAGACCTCACAGGACTCTGAACTGGCTTTTAGGAGGT